TACTCCTTCATGAGCCAGTCAACCACTGCAACACAAAGATCGTCAGAGGGATCAAAAAAGGGAAAAGGAGAACAAGATGGAAACACAGGAGGATATAGTGGTGGAACAAAAGTAATGGAAGCAGAGGTAGAAGTAGAGGGACAAAGAGGTACAGAAGTGAGAGGAATGGATGAAACATAAGGAAGTATGAGACAAGAGGGAGAAGCCTCAAAGTCACACTTGGCATGATTGCACTGCAACCAATCCATACTAAGAATGAGGTCAAAAACTTGACTCGGCACCACCCGCAACAACTGCAACTCAAGCTCGAGATTGCCCACACACACAACCAGGTCCACCTGATCCCGTGCACATGCATGTGTACGGCCATTGCCATAAAGAATGAAAACTGGTTCTGCCGCATGACGCAAGTGTAGATGACAACGTATGGTAATAGGTCGAGCAATAGAAAATAAACTTGAACCTATATCAACCAACACGGAGAGAATAATAGGAGACCTCTTGTTATAAAAATGAACTTGGAAAGTAAACATTGGATGAACCAGTGCCGAGTGAACCCCTTGATGATACTCCCGAAAGAAAGATGAAGGGGTCACTAACTTATTCGCGCAAGGTCCCTCCATTACTCGTGCGACTCCTCGTTTCCTAGATGCACTTCGGTGTCCAAACCTTCCACTACAGCAGCACCAATGGGACGTTGCTGATGCCAAGGTCTCCACCCAGGAAATGGAGGGTGCCAATCCGGAAAACGCTGACAATGCTGATAAGTATGACCAATTTCATCACACGCCCATCAACGAACATCACGGCCACGACCACGTCCTCGCCCTTGTCCTTGGACTCGAGTAGCAGCAGCATCAACCTCCATTGGAACAGAACTATCACTCATAGGAAGTGGAGCTGAAGGACATGTAGCGAGAAGTGGAAGAGGCCACGTCTCATAACCTTGTGTTAAGCGAAGAGCATCGTCAAGGGTGGCAGGAGCAAGTGCATGTATAAGTCCGACAAGATCTTGACGAAATGCTAGCCACAACATTTTGAGCTTGATCCGCTCCGACATATTGGGCTCCGCACGAAGTAAAAGACTTTGGAAACGAACACCAAATTGCATCACCAACTCAGATGGCCCTTGGTGAAAACGATGCAATTGTTGGAAGGCATCATCACAATTGTCGGCATATCCAAAGGCGCGTTTGAAAACGTCTGGGACACTCCAATCCCCACGAGTGGCTGCGCTCAAACCATTGTACCACTGTAATGCTGTCCCTTGGAGACACGTGGGAAACTCATGCAAACATCGAGCATCATCCCAAGAATGATGTGGCAATCACTGTGAAGTGATTGAACCAATGGTACACATCATCCCCAAGATTCCCACGAAAGAACTCCGGCCGAACGCGAGGATTGGCACCAAGAGCAGGAGTTGTACCACGTGCCGTAAATGCCGCCATTAATTGAGTTTGGTTGTTCAATTGCAAGCGCATAGCATCAAGCAATTGGACCAATTGCTGCTCCAAAGTCAAAGGAGGAGATTGCTGATCTGCCATAAAGATAAACAAAAAAGAAAAAGTAAAAGAAGAGAAATGACAAAAAACTAGAAGGAAATGGTAAATCTAGACAATCCACAAAGCTAGATTTAAACCAAAATCCTAAAAGGGAAAAACAAAAGAAAGGAAATGGAAAAAGCTAAATCTAGACGATACAAAAGCTAAATCTAAACCAAAATACGAAATTCAAGCATTCCTTAGGGACAATCAAAAGTGCCCCTTATCTCCACCAATGTGAGTGTTTGGAATATGGAAAGGGAATACAGAAAATGTGCATATCAATTAACCCAAAAACCCTAGTTTATATATAGGAGCGAGTGGTCCGGATTGAAACCAATTCGACGGCTACCAAAATCTCATTATGCTAATATTAGTATATGGCATCGTAGCCGTACACTTGGCTTCACAGTTAATAATACATCTAATTCAGTAAAATGCTTTTATTTTAACTTTATAATAATTTTAATTGATTTAATATTTGATAAAAAACTGTAGACTGAATAAGTTATTAACTTTTTCATAAATGGTTGAAACTCTTTATATATATATATATACATTGTTGGTACTTAATTTATAACATATTGAGATTTGTTGTATGCTACATTCAATTCTTATAAAAAATGAATAACTTGTTAAAGCTCATATAACAAAATAATTCTCTATATATAGTAATTTGAAAATACTTTTACATTCTTACAAAACTTTTCTAATGACATGTGCATAACATGTCTTGAGTTCAAATCCTATGAGCAAAAGTTTAGTGTTTTAAACACTAGTAATGAATATACTATTTAGTAAATATAGAGAGATGGCAAACTTAGAAGCATGAGTAAGATAAAAAGTAGGCATCCAAATACAATCACTTAGAAAATACCTAAATTTTATGACATTAATACTTTAAATTAAGTATCAAACTCCTATTCATTATTAATGACCTCTAGAGAAGGTGGTGGTGGCGGAATATGAGTGGTGTAATAAAGTTTTAATAAAGAAATATGAAATATCAATTTAGAATTATTTTTGTAAAATTTATTTAATTTACAATTTCCTCATGGTAATATATGCAAATGTATATATTGGATTAGAGTGGCTAACAACTTTATGTAATATCACATATCACAAATTTCTTGGACAATTTATAACAAAGCTGGTACTAGAAATGCTACCCATAGCATATAATTTTCAGTCTTGATTTCACCTGTATAATTTGGTAATATGAAAATTTAATAGAACTTTCATCAAAATCAATCTTATAACCTCCAACTACTAGTACTAAAGTTTGGTACTAGAGTCCAACAAACCTGGTAAAGCTAAGAACAATGGTAACTACTCCTACACTTTTGGCAGCAAATGCAATGACAACCATGATGAATGGAAGTGCACATAGGCTAGCCTTGAAGTACACCTTCATATTTGTTAATTGAATTACCTAAAGCTTTAGCCATATACAGCCACATCTGGCTTCCTCCATCTGCTACAATCTGATTTAGTCAAACATAATCTTGAAATTTGAGAATCAAATTTGTTATGAAAAGTACTTGGATTCTTAGTTGGGCTTTAAGATTTAAAACAAGATGCCTCACCACAAAAATAGCATCCAATTGTACCTGTCAGCACCTTGTAAAATTGTCACATTGTTGTGTTGAAAACTTCTGGACTCTCTAAACTGGGAGGAAAATGTCCACACGAGATCTTCCTAGAAGTTTCAAATCTAATCTAGTCCCTAAATCTAAAACTACATTATAAGAAGAGTGCACTTACCTACTTGTGCCAAACCAAATAAAGACTATGAACACGTGCATGAAGGCACTAGTCCTATGCTTTTGATCCCTTGAAGGTGGTGGGTAAGTAAGACATTGCTGTGAAGAGCCAAAGAAATAGGCAGAATGATGGTGTATTGCAATGTATTTTGTATTAGGGATAAGTCTAAAAACATTCTAGATCTTACTTTTATAGTCACTGCTGCTCACATCAAGGTTAGGAATACAGTTTTAACCTTGAACCTCTCAAATTTGTGTTCCCAAACTTGAACTTCTGAGCTTGCCTTTTTCCTCTTTCTCCATGTGTAATTGATCAAGCCATGGCTCAAGTACTATTCATAGAGACAAAAAGAAAAAGTATTCAGGTGATCTCACTCGCCTCACGTGTTCTTGGGGGAGCATGGGCCCCCAGTCTTGGAGAAGTATTACAAGTGTGAATAGTATCTGAGCCATGGCTGTTCTTCATCCATTCTATACAATGGCTTTAGCTCTTGCTATTGGCATTCTTTGCATTCCTTCATTCGTGACTTCCATCCACATTAAAAATTTCCCCGTATGACACCGATTAGATACATGAAATCATTCATAACGACTGCAAGTAGAAAATTTAGGCCAGCTTGCAATCTGTAATCGTACACAATCACGTGTGTCCGACTGAGGAGCATTGGACTAAACCTTACATAACTCCCCCATGGTCCGCCATTCTTCGCCTTCATTAATGGTGGTGATGGTGACTCACAATCACCACCAACAATATTTTCGAGACTTACTATATATTACCTGAGTTGCTTCCACTTTAGAGCAAAACCTTCACGGAGACTTCCCAGTGTTCTACGACCGTAGATGGCTGGAAAGAGAAAATCAAATTCTCCAACGGTGTTCACGGAGATCCTTTTCCAGTGAACCCTATACAACAGTTTTCTCGCTCGTTTCCTCTTGTAAGCTCCAAAACTAGCTGGGAGTAGAAAATGGAATCGCTTCCCTCCAACTAAGCTAAATGATGCACGAACTCGACACACTTTGCAAAGTGATCACCTGGATTTAAAGAAAGAAAAGGAAACAGAGAATGCTTGTATCGACTTTCAGAGTACCAAGTCGAAAGCTGCTGCTGGATTTTCTCGATAGAAACCAGTCTGTTGCGTGACCTGATCAAGCTCCTCTATCCACCCGGCAGCACAAGTCTCCAAGCAATTCGCTGGTACGAGCTAAAACCATTGCAAAACTCGTTACAAGAATATTCGAAAGGGAAGGCCACTTTAAGAATCATTGTTTGTGTGTGGCGGATGCGCTCTCCAAAGTCCGACGTCGTGGAGTGATGTGTCATTGGATTTTCCAAGAAAGACGCATCGCTGGCGATGCTAAGCTGAGATTGACTAAGTTTCACTGATTTAAACAGTAACGTCGCCCGATTCTTGCGTAGCTTTCTTCTTCTCTCTTTTTCTTTTGCGATAATTCTTCCACTAGTTATAGATTATGACAGACATAGCACATTGAGCGAACAAAAAATGGAGAAAATATTTCCCGTATCTCACAAGTGTGAATGTACCAAAAACTCTACGTCATGTTTTTTCAGGTCAAAATAGTTTACCTTAATTTTTTTCGTAAAGAAAAGATTTAGAAACGTAACCAGCTTGGCGAGTTTTTAATCTCTGACTTTGAGACTTGCCACAGTACACTCTTGGCAGATTTATCATCGTTCGCCCCGTCTCGTTCTCTTCCTGAATCAAAGTTTCTGAAGAACAAGGAGACGAGATAATCTTCCTTTGGCTAGATCTCGAGCGATGGAGTCCAAGAAGTCGATGCTGGTGGTAATGATCCTGGGCGCTGCCGCCGTGAATGTGTTTGTGAGCGCTGCCGACCCCGACCCGCTGCGAGATTTCGAGGGGTCGGAAGATCTTAGCAATTTCGTGCTGCGAGATGTGTTCAAGAATGGGGTCGTGAGCAATGGACCTGGTGGCGTTCGCGCAGCGATCAACACGACACTGTTCCCAGGAATCACGTACTTTTCTTAACTCTTTGCCTTTGGAGATCCCAATCGAGGTTTTCCTTGGTTTTCTTTGCAGGTCTCAAGGGATAACTTATGTACACTTTAACTCGGTTCCCTGTGGAGTCAATCTCCCACACATGCACCCTCGAGCTTCCGAGCTCCTCACCATGATCTCTGGCGGGCCACTTCAAGTTGGATTCGTGGATACAGCTGGTAGCAAAATAAGCTCTCTCTCGATCTTATAAAGAACATATGGGGTGATTTTCCAGGAGTACCACGCATCAACCTCTTGAACCCGGGCGATATCACGATATTCCCACGGGGAATGATGCACTTTGAGATCAATGTCGGGACCAAGCCTGCGTTTTACATTTCAGCTCTCAACAGCCAAAACCCAGGAACTCTGGTAAACAAAGCTTTTCTCTTCACGTTTTTCTGATGTGTGTGTGTAGAAAAGTGGTGGTGCTCTCTTGATGATCCCGGACAGGTCCGTTGCAACTGCGCTCAACGTAGGGCTGGACATGATCCAGAAGCTCAAAGCTAATATGCTGCTATATTCCTTCCGACTCAAGTTGGCCCCGCCTGCCGTGTGCGTTCCCGGCCAAAACATCACCACCAAGATTTAAGGTCTTTTGTTTACATTGTCCACTGTAACTAAAGTGATCCATCCTTCACTTGGTTTGGCTTTTCGATGGGAACACTTATATTTAAAGGCCGACTTTGTTTCGAAGCAAGAGAATGGTCGTGTCCAAGTCTCGTGCTGCTGCTGGATTTTCTGGATGATTTACACTCTACCTACTGATTTCATTGCAGTGAATTGCTTGGGTAGCTTGATCAAGCGGTTGATCAAGTGGTTTCTATTTCAAAAACCACTAGGTAGAGGGAGTGCTGTGGATGAGAGTAGTGTTAGCAGCGGAGAGATGCCGAGGAAGAACTTTCTCCGTGTATTCAACTATATATGGATAGTACATATACATGGAACTACTGCCACGTGCTCCATTAAGTCATGCTTCGGTGATGATCAAGCTTGTTAGAGGTAAGATGACGTGGCAGTAGTTCCATGTATATGTACCATCAATACACGGAGAAAGTTCTTCCAGGAAATAATGGAGGAAATAAGACCGATCTCTCCATCTTGATCTCGATCTCGATCTCGTAGAGATCATTAGAAGTACCACGCATCAACCTCTTGTACCCAGGCGATCTCACGGTTCTCCCGTGAGGAACGATACATTTTGAGCCTCGGCTCTCAACAGCCAAAACCCAGGTAAACAAAACAACATCGCCAGGACCTTTTTGCTGAAATTATTTACGTTATTCTTTTTTCTTAATAGTTTTTGTGTTGTGTGCGTTCCCGGGACAAGGTTGTGAAGCCATGCAACTATTAGGAGCGAAGATTTCAGGCCAGCTAACACTGCTTGTAAAAGATGTAAACATAGTACTTTTTGCCACTATAGTTAACGCTTTGAGCGCCAAATAAAAAAACCTAGTACCTGATTGATCCACGACGAACGTCTTGCCTCACGCGTTGTAACGTATTTGTTCCAGTGCTGCCAAAGGAGCCAAAAACTTATTAGTCTCCCACACCATGAGGAAACAAAGACCTCACCAAAGACATCGAGAGAAAATAGCACCGATGGATTTTCCCCGTGTGGATCGCAAAGTTTCAAGGGCGCTGATTTCAATTCAGAGCCCAGCAACAGGGAACGCAGCCGCGACCTGAATTGGAACCAGCACCACCGAAACCTGCAATCCTTGGCTGCTGCAAAAACAAGCACAGGGACGGATTTTTATACACGGAGAGGCCACTGCAAATCGGCAAAAGAAAAAGAGATGTCTCCATACCACTGGAAGATGACAACATGCTCGCCTCCCGCTGCTAAACTCACGTCCGGCAACTCGCTCGAAAGCTTTGGTGGGAGTGTCGCCATGTCATCCCAGAATGTTGACACACTGTACGCGCACGGCGAGATGGTCCCGCTTTAAAGGTCGGATATCTGTATAGTGTAAACATCACATTAGCAAAGAAAGAAGAGAATCACTGAGTAGAAAAACAGAGAGGGGACAGGCACAGATTACCAGAAAGCTTTTCGAGGCTGGAGTTCCGGATATGTGTACCACCTCTGAGAGCCAAATGAAAGAGAATGTCAGTGCCCATAATAAAACTAGGAGAGGCATTTTTCACCGTCCCAATGCTGCCTCGTGAAACAAGCCCCGGAACAGCTCAACTGTCTCGCATAGATCCAGGATGATCCTACAACGTAATGCTAGTGCCCCTTTTCGTCGATGCAAGCAAACATCTTTTTTATATCCGTTGCCTGCCAAAGAGAAGCTGTAATCAAGAGAAAATCTCCTCTTAGAAAAGAAACGGACGCTTACCTGATAAGTCTTGTCACGGTGAGCGGAGCTCTTGACCTCGTTTGTGCTGCTCGTAAAAGGTCGCAGCACCCAAGGCTTCCGCTCGCTGGCCGGTTCGCTGGCTTGGAAGTTAATTTTCTGGCTTTAACACCCCCACCTGAGACAACGTAAGTCTCAGTACCGCATCCTTTTGTTATCTTTTCCAGCTTTTAAAATTCTTTTTCTTGATGAACCAGTCATACCTGTGAAAGCGAAGTGCTAGACAAAGGTGTGCACTGGATGTGTACCTCTAGAGTCCCAATCATCGGGCCCCCTTGACCGGTTCTTCACTTTCCAATGGGGTAGCTGTAAATATGAAAGTCAATAAGACCAAGCCAATCATCCAACCGAGGGACAAACGAGATGCAGTGGTACGCACGATCAGGTCACATCCAAGGCGCTCTGGAGACCTTCTCCAAGATGGATCATCCGGACAAGATCACAATCGCGCAGGTGCTGGATGCCTACGCGGATCTGACATGCCTCAGCCAGTGCAAGGCAAGAAAGAAACTGGAGTAGCGTTTACCCGTCCATTTCCTAGCACAAGGAAAAGACCGAGTCATCAATCCCCCATACTAAAAAAAATGTAAGGAGCGGTAGCGGCCTTCCTAGAAAGAAAAAGAGAGCGCACGAGTCAACTCCTAGGCACAGAAAAAAGTGTGAAATGGAGAGAATGAAAGAACAGCACCATGAATGGACAAACAGCGTTCTTGTTGCCTTTTCGCGGCCACAAAACGTATATGTATATATATATATATATATATGTATATATATATATATATATGTATGTATATATATATGTATGTATATATGTATGTATGTATATATGTATGTATGTATGTATGTATGTATGTATGTATGTATGTATGTATGTATGTATGTATGTATGTATGTATGTATGTATGTATGTATGTATGTATGTATGTATATATGTATGTATGTATATATATATATATATATATGTATATATATATATGTATATATATGTATATATATGTATATATATGTATATATATATATATGTATATATATATATATATGTATATATATATATATGTATATATATATATATATATATAAAACTAGCTATATATATAGTTAGTGTGTTTCTTGTAAATATTGTAAACTATGCTATAGTAAAAGGTTTCTCACAAACTATATTGCAATATCAACCCTTATTTTATATAGTATCATTATGAGCATATTAAAGGCTACAAAGTTGACATTTAATACTATTTTTCTTGGCACTACATTTTTTTAGAGTTGCTTCCTATTTTCCTATCCCAATTATTCACCTCAAGAAATTCTTTACTCATTTCCAGACTAAATCTTTTCTCAGGGTAAGCATTCTTAAACAATGTCTCTCTTTATGCTCACTCCTTTTATTTGTCTTTGAATTTCAAGTAGACCTTCCTACTATCGAGATTCTAGAGAATATTTTAGAAGTGAACATTCTATGTGTGAGTATTCCTGGGAAAATTCCGGAAGCAAATATTCTAGACATATTTTACACAAAACAAAGAACTTACTCCACACAATCTTGTCAATAGTCAAAGAGGTGGAAGATGCATAAGCAATTGGTGAGAGTTTGGTGGCAACACTTTGTCCAGGTGCCTTTTAATGGACAACATCTACAGAAGTTCATTCTAAAACAAAAGATGAAGTTTTTGGCATAAACACCAATGCTTTTATTTTGCAACCCAAAAATTTATATAATTATTGTGCAGCACTCTGACACACCATAGACACACTTCCCCATTTATATTATTCATGGATTAATAATAATGTTAAGAGATTTACCCAAACTAATAGGTGTCTTATGTTGATCAGGCTCGAATGTCTCATCCACAATGATTTCCTGTACCTCATTATAATACTTGTCCACAACCAAGACTTTCCCTCCACCACAGCCACAACCTTCTCTTTTTATTATCAACTGATAAAGAGAACTTTAGGGCTTTGGTTCCCTATAAGTCTTTTCAAAAAGAGGTAAAGTCTCATAACAATCTGGCATAAAGAGTTGTAGCAACAAGGATTTGGGGCATGTGGGCTGCAAGAGTTGTCTTCACTTAACCAATTTCGGTCAATGTTATGGCATCTTTGTAATTTATATATGAAAGACACAATGGGTGACCTTTGTAGAGAACAAAGTTTAGTGCTTGTCTTTGGCCTAATCGAGTTTGGGAGCACTTATTAAATTTTCCTTTATCTGATGTAGATAGATCTAATTGTATCAGAGTATATTTAAATTCAAAAGATTGTACAAACAACTTTTGACGATTCTCATGATTTATATACTCGAAGTTGGAGTTCAATTATATAAAGCTAGAGTTTTGGGTAATTCAGATTATACTACCTCTTGCTTGTAGTTCTCCTAGTTTTTGTATCTTTGGTCTGCAAAAATATGTGGGGGTGGTGCACTATGTGTGGGAGCAAGCAAGGTTATGATTGTTGTGTTGAGTATAGGCGTTAGTAATGTTCTCCACACCAATCAGCTCCTAGGCTCAAAGGGTTATGACTTTTATCTGGTGGTATAGCAAAATGTGTCTTTGTTGCAAAAGTTGGTATAACTAACAAGGTTGCCAGCCACAATATAATAGCTATGGAAACATCATGGAGGAATATTACAAGGGTTAGAGTGGTCAAGGTGCAATTGGATGTTTCTTTTTGTTGGTGAGGGGTTAAGTGGTATAAACAGTCCTTTTAGAGCAGCTTCACTCAAGCCCCTCAAGGGAAAGGAAACTATAGCCCTGGAAATGAAGTTGTGAGTGACGATTTGATGATGGATCACTGGAAATACTAGTAGGGATCGCTGCATTTGAAGCGGTCTCAGATTTGTTTGGTAAGTCCACTTTGTATGTAGCTTTCTTCTTCTTTGTTTTACTTCCTGATTACAACAGACATAAAAAAGGCAAGGCATATTATATGGGCCATGGAATATTTTTGGAATATTCTTGTGGAAGTTGGATTGCTTTCCAATCCTTGATTCAAGGACATAGGATTTGTGATTCTCAGTCCACCATCCACCATTGTTGCTTTGTTTCTTAGAAAATTTATTGCTTGCTTGGAAATTGCTTCACGCTACCTGGCAAGAGACCCATCCTTGACTTTGTTGCGGCTTTTAAGTTCTGATGCCTTGCTGCTGCAGGCCGCCTCTATGAACCCATGCAGCACCCCTGCAACAGTTGCTCTCTGTTTGACGTCTTTGAAAACAGAAAATGGAGTTTCAACTACAAACTCGACACACTTTGCAAAGTGATCACCGAGACAGAGCGGTGTACACGTGCTGCTGCTGGATTTTTTGGATACAAACCATCATTTTTAATAAACGAAGAAAGCTTCATTTCAGAAAGTCCTTAAATCATTGTGGTGATGTCTTGGTCGGGAATGCATATGGTGGGCGGGGCCAACTCGAGGCGGGGAATATATGGCAACATATTTGCCTTGAACTTTCATATCATGTTCAGTCCTACGTTGAGTGCTATTGCAGAGGACCTGTCTGGGATTTTCAAGAGAGCACCACCACTTGTCTACGCACAAAGAAATGGGGTAAAAAAAACATAGAGAATAATGAGAAAGCTTGCAAAGTTTTTTGTATACCAGAGTTCCTGGGTTTTGGCTGTTGAGAGCTGAGATGTAGAATGCAGACTTGGTGCCGACGTTGATCTCAAAGTGCATTGTTCCCACACGAATATAGTGATATCACCTGGGTACAAGAGGTTGATGTGTGGTACTCCTGGAAAATCACAGCATATCTCATTATCTCTCTCTCTCTCTCTCTCTCTCTCTCACTCACGCGCACGCGCGCTCACTCTCTCACACACACACACACACACACACACACAGAGAGAGAGAGAGAGAGAGAGAGAGAGAGAGAGATCTTGAGAGAGAGAGAGATCTTATTTCCTACCGGCTGTATCCACAAATCCAATTTGAAGTGGCCCGCTAGAGATCATCGTGAGGAGATCGGAAGCTCGAGGCTGCGTGGGAGATTGACTCCACAGGGAACCATGTGTTAAAGTGGACATAACTTATCCCTTTGAGACCTGGAAAAAAAAAGAAAGTAAAAATTAGTTATTGTGGTATCAAGCGAAGGCAAAGAGGAAGAAATATGTGTGATTCCTGGGAAGAGTGTCGTGTTGATCGCTGCGTGAATGCCACTGGGTCGATTGGTCACATCGCCATTCTTGAACACATCTAGCACGAAATTGCTGAGAGCTCTGGATCCCTCGAAATCTTGCAGCGGGTCGGGGTCGGCGGCACTCACAAACACGTTCGTGGTGGCAGCGCAGCACTCAGGATCGTCACCACCAGCATCAACTTCTTGGATTCCATCAAAGAAAGATTATGTCGATGAGATTATTTCTTCTTGAGAAACTTCGAGAAGAGTGCGAAGAGCAAAAGAGAAAATGAGAGGGAGCAAACAAGCGAATGGAAGAGATATGATAAATCTGCCGAGAGTGTGGGGTTTATATACTGTGGCAAGTCTCCAAAGTCTACATAAAAATCTCCAAAACACATGTCTCCATTTCTAGATCTATTATAGATAAAAGTATACCTCGATTTTTTGCTTGACTGGGTCTCATGTTCCAAATCCAGAGCTAGTCAATAAGAATTGGAGCCAAGAAATAGATTTTACGAATGCATACATCTGACAAACTAACCTTTTTTTATTGTTTTAGATGGAAACTACAAAGTAAAATTAGCATTTTTTCTATGTTTCAATGCTTACTTTTTTTGTGTTATCTAAAAATAGTCATAAGTATTGAATATACCTAGAATATATTTAGATATTTTGGAATATTCTAACGTATTTTTCTAAATTATAAACACTTCCTAGTATATTCATCTTTATTCTATCATATAGATTAATAAATTAAAAACTTCATAGCTCTAACTCAAACACTGAGTTCAATAGTTATTATTCACAAAGTCAATAGATGCAAACTTCAAACTTTCAGTAAACTTTATTATCATCATAAAGACAATTGATATTTTTCTTCACTTACAAATGTGATTGAACACTCATTTAATTTCATATATTCATATGGTAAAGTATATATTGAGGTTGCGTAGTATGTTTCTAGATGTGCACCACAAGATCTAAAACATGTTATATATATATATACATATAAATCAACTTCTCTTCTAGCAAAACTCTTAAATGAATCACACATTGATGAATTGAATAAAGAAATAATACTAAATAGGAATAATACTACTAATGCTCAATTGTGCATAGGTTGAGCTAGTGCAATCTAGATTATAAACTTTTGCAAATTCAACCCACCACCGCTCGCTATTAAACTTAAAATTTCCCTCTAAAAAGTCGGGCTACTTTGCTTTGAGCAAGGACATAAGGTTGGAGAAGCGGTGCTGCAGGGGCATGCTCTCTTCCTGTAGCTCCTCCTGTAAAACATGACAAGCACAAGAAGAAAAATCAGAGGCCAGGCCAGACTTGATCAACCTCGAGCTGCCGGGCTGATGGATTGCGCGGGCGCTGTAAGATGCAATTCCTGTGCAGCTCGTACGGGTACCGATAAGCCCGATCTGTGCTGCTGTCAAGGGCCTCCTCAGCCCTGTCTCCCCGCCGCCGCTGCTGCTGCTTGCTACCGTTACGCTAAATCAAAAACAAAGGAGGAGGAGGTGGCTTACCGGCTGCAATTGGTTGGCGGCGAGAGTGGTCCAGAGGAGAAACACCGAGGTGGGGTGAGTGGAGCGAGAGCGAGGGGCGGGAGGCGGGTTGGCCGGTGTAGCGTAGTAAATCTTCTTGTGGGCAAGCCATGGCCTGACACATCGGCGCAGCTTCACTGGGAGCTCCGGATGCGGCCGCGGGTAGGGCAAATGCCGCGGCATCTTTGTTTGCACCCAAATTTCTGGCTAGAAGTACAAAGATGAACGAGCATTTTAATGCTTGCGCTTCTTATCTTGTGCCACCTTTTTCTTTCTCTTTTTCACGGCTTTTGGCGTCTTAGTTTTGCGGGCTTCTCGCTGTTCTTCCTTCACTTTCTTCTTGTGCTCTTTCCTGGCTGATCTCCGCTCCTCCCGGCTCTCCTTATTTGCGTCTTCTTCCTCGGAGTCTTCTTCTTGGTCGCTGCTATCACTGCTTGAGGAGGCTGCTTCCGAGAGTACTAGCTGCTCAGTCTCTGCCTCTCTTGTCGCCGGTTGCTTCTCTTGTTTTTCAAGTAAAGATGGAACTTTGCGAACTCCGGACAGATCTTCTTTGAGTCCCGTGATTGTCTGGTAGTAAATCCCCTCTGTGTCGTTACCCGTCGCTATGCGCTGGATATCTCTTTCGTAATCCTGGACTTGATCTAGAGTCCGAGGGATAAACGCCTGGCGTGGAAAACCGAAGCTCAGATTCCAACCAAGCGCAACACCCTACTTACTTGAACGAAGACGGCATCCGCAACGTCGTCCGCAGTGGAGGAAATCCTTTCCTCGATTCGCTTTTGGATCTGGAAAACGCATCTAAGGGGCAAGCTTCAGGCGAACAAAACACTTACTTCATGAAGATAAGTTTCCACTTGGTCGTCGTTTATTGACGGGTCCACTATGAAATCAAACAGCTCCCTCACGGTCATGACGGCTACACCTCCTTTCTTGAAAAAATCCTACAGAGATTGGGTTAGATCGACTACTCACACATAATAATCCTCACGTTGACATGGACGCAATCTTGCCTGAGGAAGTCCAAGGCTCGGGGATGATCGAGGTCCACTGATTGAGAGACATCAATAATATAAAGATGGCCCTGTCACAAAACGTTTACCAGACTAGCTTCTCTTAAAACATCGACTTACCTCGTGATATAGCACGTTGTATTCACTAAGATCACCGTGAACTAACCGACACCTTTGGTACATGGTACGCATTATTTGTACAATCTACACAAATTACATGAGGAAACTTGGGGGAGAAAAAAACATACAAAGAAAAGACTGACCTCCAGATAAGATTCACGGTACTTCGTATCCGAGAGCGCTGCATCTTTTAGACGTGGGGCTGCCCAGCCATCCCTTCCTGTCATACAGAAACTAATTCAGTGAAAGGAACAATCTAATCTGCGTCATACGACTTGCCTATGAAATCCATGACTAGAACATGGAGTCGCAGGACAAGAGGAGATGGTGCTCGAATTCCAGAAGCTTTGAGCCTGTTATGTAACGTAACCGTTAAGAGAGACCAGAGAAAAATGAGGAAGAAAAAAGACCTCAAGAGATTTCGCATTTCTTTCTCCGCCCACGTCTTGACCATTTTTCGTGGATTATGCTTAGAATAACCATGCCTGAACCGAAAGTCTCCTTGCACATACTTATCCCGATCTCTGAGATTTCACACGTCATGTACCATAACGATTTGGTTCTAGACTTACTTGAAGACAAGGATCGAAGTTTTATAAACCTTTACAGCCAGTTCTTCTCCACTCTCTGTAGTGGCATGATACACGTTAGCCTGTAAATGAAACAGCAGAAGATTGAAACTTAAGAAAACACAGTTGCAAAAGCTTGCCTCTTTTCCGGTGGAAATGCAGCCATTGATATCATGAAAGACTCCCCGATTTAACATTTTGAAAAGCACCATTCGAGTTCGAGGGTCCAAAACCTGCAATCTTTGTCATAAGCAAGAAGAAAACATGATTTTTTTTTACTTGTTCCACAGTAGCTCTATCAGACTTTTCGTGAACGCGAACTCGACCTTCAGCTTGCTTGCGCACATTATCGCGTACCATTGTCGTGACAGAATTTGACATGACTGCATTGGTCTGACCTTCCCATTCCTAAGCCACGTAAAAGCAATGTAAAGAGAGAGAGGAAAAAAATAACCACTATCAATGAGTTACATGCAAAGGTCCGGCGCGTATGTGTGACAAAAACCTTTGATTTTGATTGTTTCGCGGCTGGAGCGCATTCCTCTGGAGAGCATTCTCGACACCTCCATTCGCATTTGGTCGATAATGGAACGAAGAATCAACAGCTCCACCTCTAGCGCCTAAAACACAAGGAAATTTCGACACAAAGACCCCTCAAACACCAATCCATACCTTCGTGGACGTCGAGCCAGTCCAATGCACCCGCGAGATCCTCTTCCTCCTCCCATTCCTCATCGTCCAGATCGGCATCCACGGATTCATCGCAAGAATCGGGCAATTCCACCTCGGGCGCGCCCGCCATCGCTGCCCAGGAACCCTAAACCCCTAAATCCTAAATCACTTAAACAAAGCTATTGCGAATGTTCTTCGCCTACGCGCGCTTTAAGTTTGGCGAGCGAATGTGGGTGGATTCCACATCAGGAGCGCTCTGAAATTTCTCCATCCTTTTGATCTCTTGACCGATCGTACGAGAGCGATCGGTCTCTCCTCCTTGGATTTATTTAAACAAGAGTGGAATCGATAGCCACAGTCGGAGTTTTGAGAGCTTTTGGCCATGGATTCCACGCTATTCTTCTTCCTCTTCTTCTCCCTGGTTTTTCTCTCGATGGTTTCTTCGCATCCAACTCACAGCGATTGCAACTCCGAGTCGGTCTCGCTTTTTTCTTGCTTCCCTCTCCTCCAGATGCAAAGCAAGGAAATCCCCGACGACTGCTGCGTCCATCTCCAAAACTCTCTCGCCGAGAATCTCCCCTGCCTGTGCGATCTCATCCACAGCGGCGGACAGTACTCGATCAACGAATCCATCGCCATGGAGCTTCCACAAATGTGTGACATCCACAACTTTGATTCCAGCACACAGTGCTCGTCAAGCAACCATGGTTTGTGTCAAGAACTTAGATCTTTCGTTTGGATGGTATGAAAAAAATCTGGTTTTTTTTCTTCCAGCTCCTCCGTTTGTAGCTGGGATTTCTTCCGTCCACCATCCGCCGCCACCACCGTTCTTCCAGCCTTTTGGATCGTTCCCAAATTTTTCTAGCAGCTCAAAGTTTGTGCCAGTGATCCTTTGGATTGCGAGCATTGTCACGACGATCTTCCTGTACTGAAAGAGTGAATAGCAAAGAAAAGTTCTAGTGTCAAAGAATGTTCTATAACCAAAAGCTAGAGCTAGCTATGGCGGATTTTCGAGCTAGACTAGTCATGCTATCACACACCTCTGTCACAGTATCACTTAACAAAAAATAAAGTATGGTTACAAGAAGATGCTTATCCAATGACAGGAAGAGCATATAGTTTTTCGAAAGGACGAGCAAGCGGCAGCGCATTGCCCTAATCCATTCCTCGCAGCTCAGCTCGATCGAGAGCGATGGCGCAATCGGCCGCCAAGGTTGCCTTCATCGGTCTGGGAGCGATGGGATTCGGCATGGCATCGACGCTCGTTCGTTCCGGATTCCAAGTCCAGGGATATGATGTGAGTGATCGATCGATATTATCGGTTTCTAGTGGTGAAATGTGGGAATCTCTGCAGATTTCGGAGCCGGCTATGCAGCGATTTTGCGAAATAGGTGGATCCTCCAGCTCCAGTCCAGCCCATGCAGCTCAAGGTTTTGTGTGAACATTTTTTGTTTCATTTCTTCTGACTGCTAATTTCGATTGGAGCGAGCAGACGCTTCGATTCTGATTGTTATGGTGACCAATTCGGATCAAGCTGACGCTGTTCTTTTTGGATCGAACGGAGCTGCCGCTGGTAATATCATCCAAGCAAATTCTAGTTCATTTTTTTCTTGGCTGTTTCTTCTTGTAGTTGTTCCTGAAGGAGCAGTCATTGTAATTTGCTCAACCGTGGCACCTGGATACATCCGAAAGCTCGACAAGAAACTGACAGGTGAGTGCTACTTTCTAGCTGGAAGTCTCTACCTTTCTAGCTTATCATTCTTTTCCAGAAAGAAAACTCTACCTGGTGGATGCACCAGTTTCTGGTGGTGTCGCGAGAGCAGCTAACGGAACGCTCACAGTATGCATTACTTACATTATCTGCAATTTTTTTGGTGTCTAAAACTCTGGGACTGTCAGATTATGGCTGCAGGATCGAAAGTAGCTTTTGACAAAGCTATGCCGGTTCTTTCAGGTGAAATGATATTTTGATAAATATGAGCACTAACTGGTTGTAAGTTTTAACAGCTATGAGTGAGAAACTTTACATCATAGACGGTGGCATTGGAGCAGGAAGGTTCGTTTTCCATCTTTTATAACTACATTGCTTTACACTTACCTTTTTTCCTTTTGCAGTTCTGTCAAAATGGTAAACCAGCTACTTGCAGGAGTCCACATTGCTGCATCTGCAGAGGCAATGGCCTTCGCAGCTCGCGTGGGATTAAATACAAGACTTGTATACGAGGTTGTGTCACATTCATCGGGGAGCTCATGGTGGGTGTTTACTTTCTTACTTACACGTTTTTAAGCTGGCTAATGCAGGATGTTCATCAATCGTGTGCCGCATATGCTGGATGATGATTATTTCCCTCATTCCGCTCTTAACATATTCGTAAAAGACCTTGTAAGCGTTGTCGTGCCCGAGCCTGCACCTTTTGGTAGAACTTAAGAACTTCGATTCAACGCATTTTCCTTACGTTTTACTTTCAGGGTATTGTCTTATCTGAAGGGAGGGAACACGTATTTCCACTTCCACTGGCTGCAGCAGCTCATCAACAATTTTTACTGGGTAGGAACAGCTGCTTTCCACTGATGTTGCTGACTATGCCTACACTTATCAGGATCATCATCTGGGTATGGTCGTGAAGACGATGCTGCAGTTGTCAAGGTCGTTCCGTTTCTCGCATTTGCATAACAAGGCTTCTGTGCTTGCCGCCAGGTGTGGGAGAAAACCGCAGGGATTAAAGTGTCTTCTCCAAACATTGATTCTCTTAAGACACCAGAAGATGATGGCCGTCCAGAAAAAATTGCATTTATTGGACTCGGAGCCATGGGCTTGCGCATGGCTTCTAGGCTCGTTGCTAAGAAGTTTTCCGTCTGTGGCTTTGACGTAAGTCCTTTTATAGAAGTCCTTTCTTTGAAAGTTCATTTACAGGTGTCAAAGTCCGCATTAACGAAATTTGAAGAAATTGGGGGTCTTGCTGGCAGGAGCCCCGCAACGGCCGCAAAAGGTAGCAATGAACATGCAAACTAAAGCTATTGACTTCGATTTTCAGGTTCTCAGGTTCTATTTATCATGGTTGCTACTGAAGACCAAATAGAGAACGTTCTGTTTGCTGATGATGGAGCATTGTCAGGTAAGATCTAATACGTGGCTTCATGACGATCAAAACACATTTTTTGTGTTTTACAGCATTGACTGCTGAAACGGCCATTGTGATATGTTCCACTGTATCTCCTGATTACATTACAAATCTCGGAACTCGGCTCGAAGGTAATGAATGCATTCTACAAGTTCTCCGTAACATGCTGTTATATAGATCGAGGCATCCATATGGTGGACGCTCCAGTCTCAGGGGGAACAAAAGGAGCAGCAAATGGATCCTTGAGTGTAATATCAGTTTGGTCGTTTTTTGTATGGCTAACTATCTCGACTCTCATGCAGATAATGGCTAGCGGTACGAACGAGGGTTTGAAGATGGCGTATCCCGTGCTTTCAGGTACATAAGACATAGGCTATTTGATGGAACTGAAATGTGCACTTGGCAATGCACTGATGCAGCACTTGGGGACAAGCTATATTTTATTGGAGGCGGTGCTGGAGCTGGCAGGTGTGGTCAATAACATACAATTGTGGCTTACTTATAATTACGAGTTACATACAGCACTATGAAGATGGTAAACCAGCTTTTAGCGGGTATCCACCTTGTTGTTGCAGCAGAGGCCGTAGCGTTGGGGGCTCGTGCAGGGCTTGACACACAGCTGGTTTTCGACATAATCTCAAATGCTGCCGGAAGTTCATGGTAATTTTCATGTTTTCCTTCAATACTGGCAACTAACTTTTCACTGCCTTTTGAAAGGATGTTTGTCGACCGTGTTCCGCGCATGCTAAGTGGTGATTACTCTTCACACTCCAACCTAGATACTTTTGTTAAGGATCTGGTACGAAGTCTTTTTGTTTTTAGATTCTTCTAATTTTTTTGAACAAACTACAGGGAATTGTTCTTGATGTTGCCAAAAAGCTGTGTATAGCGGTTCCGCTGGCTTCTGCTGCTCATCAGCTTTTTCTAGCGGGTAAAATTATGGTATCTTATGAACTTGTACGCTAAGTTTGTTAACAGGTTCCGCTTCCGGCTGGGGTAAGCAAGACGATGCAGCTGTTGTTAAGGTACATTTGAATTGTAGGGCGTCCTTGAAAATGTAAAGGATATATATATTTTTTTTGCAGGTCTATCAGCAGCTGTCCGGTGTAAACGTTGCTACGACCAAGAGTCAAGCAGAAAGCAGTGATCTGAAAGCTAAATCTGCATCTTTACTTCCAATCATTGCCAAGGATGTCGCCTTTACGAATTTGCCAGAGGAATATCACGAGGATCCGATTGAGGCAATATGCCATACAAAACGTGAAGGAAAAGCAAAAGTTCTTGTTGTTTTGGATGACGATCCTACTGGAACACAAACGGTACACGATGTCACAGTTCTGACAGAGTGGTAAGCCATATAATTTGATCTTCCATATCTCCTCTCATTTGGGATTGTTTCAGGGGCATTGAGTCCATAAAGAAAGAGTTTCAAAAATCTCCTGCTTGCTTCTTCATACTTACCAACTCCAGAGCTTTGAGCACTGGCAAGGTGAGTTATAAAACTCTACACTGGTCTACTTATGACGGTGGTGGCAGGCAGTAGAGTTGACAAAAGCGATATGTCGCAATGTTGACGCTGCAGCATCTTCTTGTGGAAACGTTGGTTACACTATTGTGCTTCGCGGCGATTCAACTCTTCGCGGTCACTTTCCCGAGGTAAACTTTCTTGAACGGAAGGAAAACAGGTAAGAATAAGTGACTGTCTGAACCTTCGTATTTCAGGAAGCAGATGCAGTATGTGATGTTATTGGAGAGTCAGATGCATGGATAATCTGTCCATTTTTCTGGCAAGGAGGTCGCTATACTATCAATGATATTCATTATGTTGCTGATGGAACTATGTAAGACTGAGCATGCGCGTTCTAGTCATTGATTTTTTCTTTCTTGTAAGGCTTGTGCCTGCGGCACAAACGGAGTTTGCTCAGGACTCCGTTTTTGGATACAAGTCATCAAACCTTCGCGAGGTGACATTTCGTGATTTCTTTTGAAATTTGATGGTGATTCGTAAAATGCAGTGGGTGGAAGAAAAAACTAAAGGTCGAGTATCCTTTGGAGATGTAGCTTCTGTTTCTATTGCTACAATTCGTAAAGGAGGCCCCTCTGCCGTATGTGAACAGCTATGTAATCTCTCGAAGGTAGCAGTCTGTTTTACATCTATATTCAGCGGCAGTGATCTGGACTCTTACAGAATTCGATTTGCGTGGTGAATGCCGCTAGCGAAAGAGATATTTCCGTGTTCGCTGCTGGAATGATCCAAGTGAGTGTTTGCTGCATGCATCTGTCAGCTTCTAACCTCGTGCATTCTAGGCTGAGGGAAAAGGAAAACTTTTTCTTTGTCGAACAGCTGCAGGTTTTGTGTCTGCCCGGATTGGGCTCAGGTCCAAGCCACCCGTTACTCCAGTGGACCTTGAAGCAGACAAACAAACAAGCTGGTTAAATGGTGGCCTTATAGTTGTGGGATCCTACGTGCCTAAAACTACAAAACAGGTTTGTCTTCCTTGGATTCACTCACAACAAACTTTGTAAGCCTTCAGGTGGAAGAGCTGAAACTAAAACGAGGAAGTTCTCTCCAGTCTCTAGATGTAAGTTTCAGTGTAATGGATCGAGAACTAGCGTCGTTGTTTTTTCCAGGTTAGTGTTACTGCTGTGGCCATGAGTGCAGACAATGTAAGAGATGCAGAGATTGCTAGAGTATCTAATGCGGCAGATGTGTTTCTATCGGCCGGACAAGATACACTAATCGTTACAAGCCGTGTCCTTGTAACAGGAAGCAGTAAGTTTTAAGAAATGTTTTGATCAATGACACATTTTGTTTCTTTCAGGTAATTTAGAGAGCCTTGATATTGGAAACAAAGTCAGCTCAGCATTGGTCGAAATTGTTAAGCGTATTCATACTCGTCCCCGGTACATAATTGCGAAGGTTAAAAACTTAGTGGTCATCATCATTAGCAGTCCACATAACGACGTTCTTACAACAGGGTGGCATAACGTCGTCGGACCTGGCAACAAAGGCTATGGGCGCGAGCCGAGCAGAAGTTGTGGGGCAGGCATTAGCAGGAGTACCTATGTGGAAGCTTGGACCTGGAAGTCGGCATCCTGGAATCCCGTACATAGTATTTCCGGGTGAGTTTCTAATTTGCCGTTCTTTTTTTCTTATGTCTGTAAGCCGCAGGGAACGTTGGAGGAGTGGATGCTCTTGCCACTGTTGTGTCTCGCTGGGCAAGACCGAAACGAAAATCAACCAAAGACATTCTTATGGTAATATTTTAAAGCTTGAGAAGTCACTCAAAAAGTGTTTCCTCCCTAGGATGCTGAAAGTGGAGGATATGCGGTGGGAGCTTTTAATATCTACAATTTGGAGGGGGCGAAAGCTGTGATAAGTGCGGCTGAAGCCGAAAAAAGTCCAGCTATCCTGCAGGTGATTACGCTCCTCTTTAACAAGCAGCTCTTATTCACTTTGTTTATGCATTTGCAAAAGATTCATCCAGCTGCTTATCGGCATGGTGGGCGGGCTTTGGTGGCCTCCTGCACTGCTGCTGCAAAAAGTGCTAACGTACGTAATTCTGTTCACTTTTGGCTTTCTTGAATAAGTTAACAATCCACAATCGCATACAGGTGCCTATAACTGTTCATTTCGACCATGGCAATGATGAAGCAGAACTTATGGAGACCTTGGAGCTGGTAAAGCGACATTATCACGATTCTCTTTTTCCATGTACAAATGTTTTTTTACAGGGATTCGATTCAATAATGGCTGATGGGTCGCACCTAGCATTTGACGACAATGTGGCATTTACCAAGCGTATAGCATCGATGGCACATTCAAAGGGCCTCGTCGTAGAGGCCGAGCTCGGCAGGCTCTCGGGAACAGAAGACGGTCAGACCGTCGAAGAATACGAGTCGAAGCCCACCGATATCGATCAGGTTGGCCTCTCGTTTACAAATTCCGCTAAAACTTTCAACTTGTCGTGGGGTTTTCTTTTTCTCTTCCAGGCGAAAGAGTTCCTGGAAAAGACTTGCGTAGACGGACTTGCTGTGTGCGTCGGCAATGTCCATGGGAAGTACCCGGCAAGTGGACCGAAACTGGACATGGAACTTCTCAAGGTTTGTGTGTGCCACGCTCTCTGCAATTTGTATAGTATCCCGACAGATCAATCTGATAAGTTTGACATGCAGGAGCTGAGAAAGACGGCTGCTGACCGTGGAGTGCTCCTTGTCTTGCACGGAGCTTCGGGCCTACCAGCAAGCATGATCCAGGTGACGGAAAAAAAGACACTCTTTTTTGATTTCGAAGCTTTAATCCAATCCAATCCAATGCTACAGGCCTGCATTGACAACGGTGTACGCAAGTTCAACGTAAACACCGAGCTCCGGACGGCCTACACGGAAGCAATCGTGAGCTGCTCCGGAAAGAGAGACATTCTGGAGATGATGAAGCGCGCTCAATCCGCCATGGAAGCTGTAGCGGCGAGCAAAATGAGGAGCTTTGGCTCATCAGGGAGATCCCCGGGCATCATGAGAGAATGAAGAACCAAAAGAGCACAGAGGTAGCAAATAATGGGGAATCCAGAAGTGACAATCAAATTGGTGATAATCATCATTCCCGTGGAACTTGACGAATGATCGATCCAGCTCACAGTGAGCTTTGTCAATCGTGGACTTTGAGAAGAAGTATATCAGATTTGGATCTCTTGGATGGTTCGCAGGTAATGACGTGAGTGGCGCGAAACTCTCGTGAATATGCTGTGACCAGCAGTGCCAGACAAAACGAATCTTTGGATTTTAAATTTTAAAAAAGATCCCTCCAGAATGGCGGCTGGACGCCACTCCAGCCGCAATTTGGAACGACCTGGCCAAACTTCCTCGCAAACCAGGGTAAATCCCCACACCTAATAAAAATCTCCAAGGGTTTTAGAGATTTTCCTTCCAAGCAAAGAAAGCGAGAGCGAGAAAAGAAAGAGAGAAGAGCGCGAGAAGAAGAAAGTGGTTCTTGATTGGATCTTCAAGCAAAGGTATCTCTATTTCATCCATCCAAGTCAAATGTGTCGAGGGCTTAGCGAGCCGATCGATCCTCCTCCCGGCGACTACTCGGACGATGGCTGGCTGCCCAAGTGGCTGCTGGACTGGGAGATGGACGTCGAGGACTTGAATTCGCTGCCGCCGCCGCCGCAGATGGAGCTGAGCCCGGACGATCTCTTCCAGGACGAGCTCCTCCTCCAGGACGCCATCTGGTCAATCTCCTCGTCCAGCGCCTCCAGCAATGCGGCCTCGCCCATGGATTCATCGCCCATCACCCCCAATTTCCAGCAGATCGAGCAGACAGTCCAAGAAGAGGAGCGCCGCCAACAACCGCCGCCACCCCCGCAAGTGGACGAAATCCCCGCCAAGATCCCCAAATTGGAAGCGCAGGACGCCAATGCGGGTTCTCTACTCCGCCAATTCGCTCGAGAAGAGCAGAGGCAGACCGATCCAGCGCCCGCGATCGTGGAAACCCAGGGCGGCGAGTCCAAGCGATCCAATCCCGCCCAGCCGATCAAGCACTACCGCGGCGTGCGCCAGCGGCCGTCCGGCAAGTGGGGCGCGGAGATCCGAGACCCACAGCAGAGGGTCCGGCTGTGGCTGGGCTCGTACGGCACCGCCGAGGCGGCGGCGCTGGCGTACGACGCCGCCGCCAGGAGGATCAAGGGGAAGAAGGCCAAGCTCAACTTCAAGGACGAGGAATCGCTGGCGTACGCCAAGCTCCACCACCCGCCGGCGGCGCTGAGGAGCAAGAAGCGCGCGAGGCGGTGCACGAGCGGCGATGGCGGCGGCGGCGGCGGCGGCGGGGACGGCATATTCCAGACATATACCCGCGGCTACGGGGATATTCTGGGCGCGCTGGAGGATATGCCCCCGGCTCTCAAGGACAAGTTTGCGCGGTTTCTAAGCGGCTGCTACGATTCCAGCAGCTAGAGTGTGGATCGCGATCGAGCGGAAATGTAAATAGGATGAATCCATCATTCCGGGGACTTTTTTTTTTCACCAGATGATTAGTTGGAGACAGCGCACACGAGGGTCGCGATCGTGTTGTCAAAGTGAATAACACTTGGTTTGGTTGTTTAATCACAGCCAACCAAGCCGGCAATTTGCAATCTCTACGTAACCCTTGTCACGCTCCAGCCAGACTTGACTATAAGATGCGAAAGCTTTTGTTTGATTTTGTCACGTATATTATTGCCAGCGGGCAATGTGACAATCTCTACGTAACTCTCTGTCACGCTCCTCCTCCAGGAAATCCTGCGCTTGTGAGCTGCTAGGATTTGTCCTCTTGGTTCTCTTCCTGAAACTTTGAGATTTAACATACCAGATCGAATTTTCCTATCAGTGCCTGGATCACAGCTGGTGCGCAGATCGGTGCCACGAAGTGCCTATCAGACTTTTTGTCGCCAAATCCCCGGGCCGCCAGGAGCAAGTTGACGATGTGTACGCGCTCTTGAAGTGGATGCGGTCATGGATCAAGAACCTTTACAAGATAACTTCGCGACCACAATCGACCGAAAGAGGATCAAAAGACAATGCACCGTTACATTGGCCGTGCAGATTTTTGGCGTTTGCCCTAATTCCTTAGCACCACCGCAGCCTACAAAGCGACAGGCAGCGCATGCGCGCGCGCTTGTAGCAAAATTATGTTCGCCGATAGCTATCCACGAAAAGCTGTTGGCCCCCCCTTTTTCCTCTGGAGATTGGATGGGCGAATCTAACTATCAAAACGATAAGGTTGCCCGTGCTAAGCGCGCAAAAAAGAAAAAATAAAAACAATATATACACCTCTCCAACGTTTCCATAGCGCCGACAAATTCATCCAACTCCCACGTGTCGAGAAATCCCTCTCCAGGCACCAAATACGTTGCACTCTACGAAGCTTCTCCCAATATGCACCGTCTTTACCCCGAAACAAGGCTCCATTCTCCTCCCTCCAGAAAAACGATTAAAATAATGGTGTACGGTACGAGCCCCAGCTAATGGGCCATGCGGTCACAAACTCCCGCCGTCCGTGCTCCGCCGACACCCAAAGATCCAAAACACGGCTTGGCTGCCCGCCACGTGGCGAGCGGCAATTGTCGGCGCTACGGTGGCTTTGTAGAGTTTGCGGATACCCTGTCCATATGGTTCTTGTGTACCTACAAAAAGAGAGGTAGCTCGGGATGGCCTATCGCTCTCTGCCACGCGGACCGCCGCTGGCCACGGTGGACGATGCTTGGTTACGTAACCGGCGTAACCGGTGTGTGTGGATGCTTAAATCTTTCGGTCTCGCATTCTCTTTCTAGGGTTCTTGAGCGTCCTTCGCTTTGGCGGAGTTTTTTTTCTGCCAGAGCACTGGGCTGCAAAGTCGGTGTGTGTGGAGGCGGCAGAAAAAAAAGAGAGAAAAAATTGGACTGCGCACCAGCTGTGATCCAGTGCTCCCGCCTCTCTGCTTTGAGTGTCATCCACGGCGCCTACTTTCTCTTCTCCAAAATCTCCCCCCTCCTAGCATCCATCGAGCGATCCATGTAGCTGTTCCATTGCGCCATCGATCCCTCGATCGATAATCTCTCGATTCTCATTGAAATATCTCAAGAACAAGAGGGAATTCAAGGATTGTGCGCGACTTCCAAGCGATTCCAGGGATGGAGAACAAGAAGCCACTTCTCCCCCACAACAAATGGCTCCATCTTCCATCGGAGCTCCACGAGAAGATCTTCGCGCTCCTCCCAATCGCCGCAATCACTCGCTGCCGCGCCGTGTGCCACACCTGGCGATCGATCCTCCTCTCCCCGCCCTTCCTCCAGCACTGGGCGCGCATCGCCGCCCCAATCCCCTGGTTCCTCATGTTCCGCGACCACAAATTCCGTGCCTACAGCCCCGCCCTGGGCACCTGGCACGACATCCCGGCCGTCAATCCCTCCGACCACGCCCTAGATCTGACGTGCATTGTCGCCTCCGCGGGAGGCCTCTTGTTCTTGAGCTCCCAGAAGAAGAAGAAGGGCTCGCCTCCACTCCTCCTCGTTTGCAATCCCCTCACAAAATCGTGCCGCATCCTCCCGGGCCTCTCCCGGATCACGCTCATCTACGTGATGGGGATGATGGAATCGGGCTGGAACTCGTACAAGATCCTCGTCGCTGGGGTTGCGAGCTCCTCCTCGCAGGAGCTCATCACCGAGATCTACGACTCCGCCAGCGGCGGGTGGGAGTGCCAATCCTCGGCGCGGCTGGACGCGTTCCAGGATTTCTCCGGGATGCGCGCGGTCTGGAGCGATGGCTTCTTCTACTGCCTCTCAGTGCCGCCTTACAAGCTCGTCGCCTACGACATGGGCAAGCGTTCCTGGATCACGCTCGATCACGCGCAGCAGCTACCGGCGCTGGCCATCCCCAACCTCGCCAGCGCCTCGCTGCTCGTGTGCCGCGGCCGATTGGTCATGGCCGCCAAGATCACCGGCGCCGCGGCTAGCAAGAGGGTCCGGATCTGGGAATTCGACGCGCAATCGTGCCACTGGAAGGACGCCATCGCCAACAGCGATCCCGTCCTCCAGGAATTCTGCAAGTGCGTGTCCTATTTCATGGCGCTCCAGCGGCCGCGCGGCCTGGATTCCGTGTGCTTCAATAGCTGGTGCCGGTGGAGGACGCTCATGTACGATGTATCGCAAAAGAAGTGGCACTGGCTGCCCGAGCACTGCGGGAGATTCAAGGACATGCTCAGCGGGCTCACCTACGAGCCCACATTCTTGGCCAGAGCTTGACGAAGAACCCTAATTACGTCCACGTGGCTGATCAAGGAAGAGCCAAGTGTTGGTATTTTTTAATCGAGGATCGCTTCAAAGGAAAAACTGTCAATAGTTTCTGCGATTCCACACTTTTACAATAGCTATTTTTCACCGAAAGTTTTCACCGAAAGTACATCTATACTGAAGAACAGTGCTTGCTTCCGTATCTTTTTTCTTTCTTGGTTCATCCATAGTACATGAACGTCGAGCCTCTGGATCGACGCTTATAAATTCCTGTCAAGTTGGATGGTGGAAAGCTGCAAGACAACCAAGGCAAGAGGAGCTTGATGTAGCAAAACAAGACAAAAGGGAATTTAAAAAGCTGAAAGCACTCACTTGGGAGATCCGTGAAATCCCACTTTAGTTCGTCAACCGCTAGCCTCGGGCGATCTCCTCGACTTGGATGATCGCTTCTTGTCCCTCTCCTTCTTTCGCGAGTGGTCCTTGCGGCTCCTCTTGCTCGACGACGATGACGATTTCTTGCTGCGGTGATGGCGCTTCCTCCTCTCCCGGGAGCTCTCGTCGTCATCAGTCGACGTGTAGTCCCTCCGGCTCCTCTTGGAGCTGGATTTCCTGCTCTTGCTGCGATGGCTATGGTGTCTCTTGCGCTTCCTATCACCCTCCGAATCGTCACTGCTCAAGCTATCGTCCTTCTCCTCCGAGGAGTAGCGCTTCTTCTTCCGGGACGAGGATGACATCTTCTTCGCGATCGCCCTCTCCATCTCCGAATCCACATCACTGTCCGAGTCGCTATCGTCGTCGGAGTCACTACCCTTGTCGGAGTCGGTCCCCGGATGAGTCTCTTCGCGCTTTCCGCCCTTGGTGTTGCCCTCCACCGCCACGGCCCCATTGCCCACGTCCTCCTTGGCCACCGCGAGGAAATTCCTACACTGGAATGGTAGATGCCCAACTCGCTTGCATCGCCGGCAGGCGCCGCGGGGCTCGTCGCTGCTGGAAACCTGACCGCTCTGGATCTTCGCAAGCGCCAGCAATCCCTGGAAGCTATCGTAGGCATTCTCTCCTGCCGGCACCGGCGCCGCCCTCTCCCCGCCAGAGGGGTCCTTGCGATCCGGGGCGTAGGGATCATACCCGATTGCGCTCTGCCAAATCCCGTGAGTCTGTAGCGCCGCGCTGCTGTGCACGCGATTGTTGGCGGGCATGCGAACTCGCCCCGCGGTGGCCGGCATCTTGATCCGCTCTTCCTTCGCTCCGCAACAAACCCTAGCAAGGGAAATGAAAAGAATATGCTTTAGGGTTCTTCGTTTAGGGTTCTTCGCCTTGTTTTAATGGCGCTCGTGAAATTCGCTATCGCGTCGGTGTTCATGTGGACGGCGCCGCTGCTCATTCTCCAGGCTTACAAGCGCGATCTCCTCCCAGGTATGGCGAGATCGATTCATTTTCTAAGAGATTGGCTCCAGGATTTTCCAGTCTTTCACCGGAAGTGCAAACCATCGTTTGTGGATTACTGGCGGTTGTCTCCGTCAATGTCGTGATTGCCTTCTACATTCTATCGGCCATGCGAGAGCCTCCGACGAGCACGGAGCCAAAGCCCGATCCAGAGTTTGTTTCTCGAGCTAGAGCCAGCGTCGAGGCTCTCCAATCAAGCCCAGAGATCAAGAAGAACGAGTAACAAAAAATTGGTATCGATTGATTCGCCCTCTTTCCTTTCTCTTTCTTTTTTTCTTTTCTTTCATTTGGTCAGCTGGACGACAATAACATAGAATTCTCCATCTGGGACGACTACAATCTCGTGAACCTTGGTACGTACTCTCAAAAGCCTCACTTGATCCTGGAGCTAAGAAGTAAAGATTTTGATGGCAGTAAATCGGAGCTAGAAAATCTGCGAACCTTGGATTCGATGTCGTGGATCAAATCTTTGGCTTTGGTCGCGAGTGGAACCATGTACGAGGAATACTGGTAACAAAAGTTTTACATGATTGGAGGGATCAAAGGCGTGTTTTTCTTTTCCTTTTTCCAGACATTACCCGAGCAGTGGTTTGGTCGTCCATCGTGCTCGTGATAGGAATTCCAAGGCTGTCTGTGACGATCGTTCCGAGAATTCCTGTGGAGAAAAGATCAAAGTCAGCCAGTGGAGCTCTTGATCTTCCAAAGATCTTGGAACCAACCTCTGTGCGACGAGATCTTCTTCACGGTCTCCTCGACGTGATACTGCGAGCGCGCGAGCGAGCATTAAGCTTCTCAGCGCGGCAATTCTATAGGGGCAAGAAAACAAACACCTTGGTCTGCGAGAATTCGTGGGGCTTCTTCTTCTTCACCTCCACGATCACGGGAGCTTTCTCCTCCTCCTCCTCAGCTGGGGCTTCTTCTTGCTCCTTTTCCTCCATCGCCAAATCTCCAAAGCTTTCGCTCCAGGAGAGATGCGAGGAGTCATGAGTAATCTGGTCCGTCCATTTTATTTTAACGAAAGTATATGCTTCAAAAGATGCTAACCTAGAATGTGCCCCGTACAATGTGCCACGTGGAAAGCACATCCAGTCCGTCCATTTTGAAGCTTACATTTTGCCACGTATAACTCCCAACATTTAAGGGTATATGCTTGGAGAGATGCTCTTTCTTAATGGGGCAAGCTCTTCGCAGGGCAAGAGGAGCGGCGGCGAGGTTTGCGGAGGAGAAGAGCGCGCCGAGCGATGCCGCGCGCAAGGCCGTGGCGGCGGAGGACGAAGATCGGCCGATTCGGCTCTACTCGGCGGGCGTTCGCAGGGTGAAGACGAAGGAGCAGCTTGAGACCGAGGCGCGATGGGCCGCCAAGGCGAAAGAATTGTATGGCAATCCAAAGCCAGGTAAGATTTCGATTCCATGTGGCTAGAATCTTGCGATTGAGAAGTGTGAGAGCAGCCCCGGATGCGAAGGCGCGGCTGCGAGCACAGCAGGAGAAGGAGACCGATTATCGCCCGGATCCTCCATTCGATAAATCATACGATCGTAAGTTTCGTCCATGGATCCTGCATTCTCTATGATAAAATTTTTTGCTTGTGTTCTTCGTAGAGCCCTTTCCTGGTCACAAACCGGTTGAGCGAGAATCGTTTGATCGAGAATGGGACCAGAGCGATCGCACTTACAAGTATATGGTCCAGAAAGCCGCTGGACAAGTGGTATCCAGGACCGAGAACGTTGGACCTGGAGGAGAGGTACGTGTTCTTGGTCCTATCATTTTTTTTCCTCTCGAACCCTCAGTGACTTCTCATCTAGTTTCCAGCGTACCTCCAGCATTTCCACAGTAGCTAGATTGTTCAAACTTCATCTAGTTTCCAGCACTTACGCAATAGCTAGATCGTCCAAACTTCATCTAGTTTCATCTAGTTTCCGGCATTTTCAGATCGTTCAAAGTTCATCTAGTTTCCAGCACTTACACCGTAGCTAAATCGTCCAAACTTCATGTAGTTTCCAGCATTCCCACAGTAGCTAGATCATCCAAACTTCATCTACTTTCCAGCATTTCTTTGCAACAAATCTCTTAAACGATGTTACAGCATAGTTCCCAGCGTTTCTTTGCTCGAAACCTCTACAACCGCGAGCTCTCTCCGGGCTCTTTGCTTCGGCTCTAGGACTTGTCACTCAAAACAAAGTTTTGGCTTTCCTTCCAGGTCCCAAGAGCATCATCACCGCAGCCATTCGGGACCCCCGCGCCGCTGAGCCGATCCAAAGTCGACACTGCCGACAGGGAGGGCCGGATCGTGCCAGGCAAGCTCAACATCCTCCAGCTGAAGCAGGCCTTCCTCCTCCACCATGGCCAAGCCGAGGGAGCAGTGAAGCAACTAAGCGTGGAAGCCATAGCCGAGAAGTTCGAAGTTAATCCCGACCTCCTCAAGCGCGTCTTTAAACACACCTCTCTTGCGGAGGGCAAGCCCGTAGACAAGTCCATCTATAGGGGAGTAGCAAAGCCCTCCAGATAAAAACTAGGAATCTTTTACCATGGTATAAAAGAAGAACAATGTTGACATCCGTGAGTATTTCCACGCCTTTGGTTTCCATAAATTATAGGCAATGTCGACATCTCTAGTCTCTTGACAATCTTGGCTCCTAATAAATAGATCTAATCACATTCTTGCACGTAGCGATCGAACGGTAGCGTTTCTTGACTCTTCTTTTCTCATCTAGCCTGCCACTTTTGATCGATGTCTTGATCCTAGCGATCGATCTCTTCTACTTATAATCGATGTAGTGATCATAGGGATCGATCTTTTCCTCGTTTTTTGCTTTTCACCTTTGAATGGATTGCTCCAGCGATGAATCATGCATCAACAAGGACGAAGCCCTGCACCTCAAGATCGCGGGGATCGCCGCGATCCTCGTCAGCTCCTTGCTAGGTGTCGCGATCCCGCTGGTGTTCAAGAGCTTCAATCGCACAAGAGTGTTCTTCGCGGGGCAGTGCTTCGCGGCCGGCGTGATCCTCTCCACCGGTTTCGTGCACATACTCCCGGACGCGTTTGCGGCGCTCACCAATCCATGCCTGTCGGAGCATCCATGGGAGAAGTTCCCCTTCCCGGGATTCATCGCCATGACCACTTCCATGCTGGTTTTGTTCGTGGATTCCATGGCACTGGGCTATTACACTCGCAGGGAGGGGGAGACATCGTCCATGGGCGATCATGCAGATCATCCACACCATGTCCACGCTCATCCTTCCAACGATCATAGCGCAGAGGTCTCCAAGGTCCACGATTCGCAGGAGCTTGAAGCCAGTGCCGGGTCGCCAACAACAACTATAAAAAACAAAGTTGTGGCTCAGGTAAGTGTAGAACTTCTAGCCTTTCGGTGTGATCTAGATTTTGAGGTTTTGACTTTGCAAAGGTGCTAGAGTTTGGGATCCTCGCACATTCGGTGATAATTGGAATCGCTATGGGAACTTCGAATAGTCCATGTACTATTCGTCCTTTGGTTGGGGCCCTTGTGTTCCATCAGTTTTTCGAGGGATTAGCACTTGGTGGATGCATTTCCTTGGTAAGATTGGCATTACTGTGGTAAAGTTTTGATAGATTCAGCCTTGCAATGCAGGGAAGCTTTAAGGTCGTTTCCAAGCTGCTCATGGCTTTGTTCTTCACTATCACGACCCCCGGTGGGATTGGTATTGGGATGATTATTTCTTCGAGATATAACGAAAATGATCCCAAGGCTTTGATTGTGGAGGGAGTGTTTGACTCTATGTCCGCTGGAATTCTTATCTACATGGCTTTGGTTGACTTACTTGCCTCTCATTTCATGAGTAAGGAGTTCTTGCAACAATCTTGGAGACATTACAGTTTAGGATATTTGTTTTTGGTCTTAGGAGCTGGAGCAATGTCGGTGATTGCTATCTGGGCTTAGATGTTTTCATAAAAATATAATATAATATTCTAGATATGCTTATTTGGAAAAAAAATTTAAAAATATAAAACACATAAGTAAAAAGCTTAGATAACAGAAATTCTTCTTTATTTTTTCTTCTTTATTTTTTTATCTTTATACTGTCCAAGTATACAATTACGATGCCATATACTATAATAGGATTTTAGTAGCCATCAGATTGATTTCAATATGGACCACTCACTTTTATATATAACTTAGGTTTTATATTTCCTTTCCATATTCTATACATTCATATTAGTGGAGACAAAAGGCACTTTTGATTGTCCATGAGGAGTGCTTGGATTTGGGATTTTAGTTTAGATTTAACTTTTGCATTGTCTAAATCTAATTTTTTTTCCATTTCTTTTCTTTTAGCTTTTTTCATTTCTTTTCTTTTGCTCCTTTTTTTTCATTCATTTTCATGGCAAAGTAGCAATCTCCTCCTCTTTTGACTCTAGAGTAACAGTTAGTGCAATTACTTGATGCTATGTGATTGCAATTGAACAACCAAACTCAGTTGATAGGAGCATTCACGACACGTGGCACAACCCCTCATGTTCTTAGTGCCAATCCCCATGTTCAGCCGGAGTTCTTTCATGGGAATTTTGGGGATGATATGTACTATTGGTTTAATCACTTTACAGTGATTGCCATATATCATTCTTGGGATAATACTCAACGTTTGCATGAGTTTCCCCATATATCTCCAAGGGATGGCATTGCAATGGTATAATGGTTTGAGTGCAGCCACTCGTGGGGATTGGTGTATTCTCCCATATATCTTTAAATGTGCATTCAAACATGTTAATAATTGTGATGATGCCTTTCAACAATTGCATTGTCTTTATTAAAGGCCCTCTGAGTTGGTGATACAATTTGGTGTTTGTTTCTAAAGACTTTTGCTTCGTGCGGAGCCAAATATGATAGAGCGGATAAGCTAGGGATGTTTTGGCCAACACTTTGTTAAGATCTTGTAGGACTTATGCATGCACTTGTTTTAGCCACCCTTAATGACGCCCTTCGCTTAGCATAACATATGAGATATCGCCTCTTCCACTTCTTGCTGTACGTCTTTCAACTACACTTTCTGTGGGAGATAATCTTGTTCCAATAGAGGTTGATGTTACTGCTACTTGAGTTCAAGGATAAGGGCAAGGTGTGAGACACAAATCCCTAAGCCCCAAAGTGGAGCCAAAAGGGTGCCACGTGGTAGTGGCCAAAGTGAAAGCCAAACGAGTGTAACATGTTTGGATTAAAAGCTCCGACTTGAAAGGTCGAGAGTGGGAGTGGAACTCCTAATAGAGTGCTCAAAGAACAAGCATGAAGCGAGCCATAAGAGAGTCTCTGAAAAAGGAACCCAAGATGGAGTCTAAGATGGAGTTTGAGATGGGGACCGAGATGGAGTCTGAGATGGACTTGAGATGGAGTTCGAGATGGACCCGAGATGGAGTTTGAGATGGACCCAAAATGGAGTCCGAGATGGACCCAAGATGGAGTTCGAGATGGACCCGAAATGGAGTCTGAGATGGACCCGAGATGGAGTCTAAGATGGACCTGAGATGGAGTCTGAAATGGACCTGAGATGGAGTTCGAGATGGAGTCCGAGAAGGACCTGAGATGGAGTCCGAAGTCGAGACCGAGACCAAGACCGGGACCGAGACTGAGATCGAGATCGGTACCGAGGCCGAGGTTGAGACCGAGTCCAAGCCTGAGTCCAAGTCCGAGTCCTAGTCCGAGTTCGAGTCTGCGTCCGAGTCCAAGTCCGTGTCCGAGTCCGAGTTCGAGTCTGAGAGGGTGAAAGCCCAAAGCGTTCGTCTCCCAGACCCTAGGGGGTTTGGTGAGCTCCAAAAGTATAGTAGGGGGAGGACTCTAGTGGAGCTAGTTTGGCTAAGAAAGGTCAGTTTAGCCCAGGAAGGCTGTACCTAGGTGTTGGGTGATGGGATAACCACTGGGAAGTCCAAAGCTAGAGTGAATATGGACCGAAAAATAGCGTAGCTTAGTGAAGTGTTCAAGAGCCGGCTCTAGTTCCCCCGGGAGATCGAATGGTCAATGCTCCTAGTCCACGTGTGGGTGGCACTACCTACTTGGATACCTAGTGTGGCTCAACGGAACCTCGCTCTAAGCCCATGGCTAGAGCACCTAAAGGCGGAAGGTGGGGAGAGTACCCACGGGGCTTGCGTAGGGCCACGGTGTTCCAAAATGTTGTCCTGAAATCCCAAACGGGGGAAAGGAGAAGGAGTAATCCTCTAATATAGTGACTTAGGATACGGTCATATGGTGAGGAAGTCCCAGAGGATGATAGGACTTAGTGGCCGGGCCTGTGGGCCTTGATTTAGTGGTAGTGTTAGCAAACATGGCCATGGATAAAAAAAGGACTTGGTAGAAACTGATAAAGGGATATTGGGGAAGGCTATTCCCCATGTCTGTGGGCATCCTAAGGATGCTAAGGAGTCGATCTGGGATCACCACTCGTGGACGGATAGCCTAGTTTTGGAGAGACGGGACTGTGATGCAAGTGGTATTGTACCACTAGTGTAGCAAAGGTGAATGGGCATGGCCTTAGCGCAACGGGCCGATATATCAATGGTACCTTTGGGTGTCGGTCATGGGACCAGATACGTGTAGCACTTGGACCAAGTGCAACAGTTGAATGGCACAGATGCCATTCTTGGGGCTAGCAAGTCCCCATGTCCGAAATAGGACCTATGTGTAAGCGACTAATTTTTCCATTCTACTTTAGTCACTTAACCACACCTCCGACCATTTGGAGGAGTCTCATTCACAACCTCCATAAGTCCAATTCAGGACTTGGGACTTGCTAGCCCCAAGAATGGCATCCATGCCACTCAACCCTTGCACCTAGTCCAAGTGCTCCATGTGTCCGATCCTATGACTGACACTCAAAGGTACCACCGACATAGCAGCCTGTTACGCTAAGGCCATGCCCAATCACCTTTGCTGCACTGGTAGTCCAATACCACTTGCAACACAGTCTTGTCTCTCCAAGATTGGGCCAACCATCCATGAGTGGTCATCCCAGATCCATTCCTTAGCATCCTTAGGATGCCCACTGACAAAGGGAACAGCCTTCCCCAATATCCCTCTGTCAGTCCCCACTAAGTCCCTTTTTGCCTTTGGCCGTGTTTGCCAACACTGCCACTGGATCGAGGCCCACAGGCCTGACCACTAAGTCCCACGGTCCTCTGGGACTTCATCACCACACGACTGTGTCCTTGGTCACACCCCAGAGGACTACTCCTCTTTCTTTCCACAGTCTGGGCCTTTGGGACGACATTTCCGAACACCGTGGCCTTACGCGAGCCACCTAAGTACTTTCCCCGCCTTCCACCCTTGGGTGCTCTAGCCATGGGCTTAGAACGAGGTTCCATTGAGCCATGCTTGGTATCCAAGTAGGTAGTGCCACCCACACTTGGACTGGGAGCATCGGCCAGTCGATCTCCCGGGGGAACTAGAGCCGGCTCTTGAACACTTCACCAAGCTACCCCGCTTGTCGGTCCGTGTTCAGTCTAGTCTTGGACTTCCCAGTGGTCAGTTCATCACCCAACACTGGGTCTGGCCTTCCTGGGCCAAACTAGCCTTTCCTGGCCAAACTGGCTCCACTGCAGTCCTCCCCCTTACTATACTTTTGGAGCTCACCAAACCCCCCAGGGTCTGGGAGATGAACGCTTTGGGCTTTCACCCTCTCAGACTTGAACTCGGACTTGGACTCGGACTCGGACTCAGACTCGGACTCGGACTCGGACTCGGACTCGGACTTGGGCTCGGTTTCGGCCTCCACCTTGGTCTCGGTCTCGATCCCGGTCTCGGTCTCGGTCTCAGTCCCGCTCTCGGTCTCGGTCTTGGTCCCGGTCTCGGTCTCGACCTCGGACTTCATCTCAGGTCCTTCTCGGACTCCATCTCGGATTCCATCTCGGGTCCATCTCGGACTCCATCTCGGATTCCATCTCGGGTCCATCTCGGACTCCATCTCGGATTCCATCTCGGGTCCATCTTGGACTCCATCTCGGACTCCGTCTTAGTCCATCTCGGACTCCATCTTGGACTCCACTTCGGACTCCATCTCGGACTCCATCTCGGACTCCACCTTGGACTCCACCTCAGACACTTCCACGTGTCATGTGTTAGTCCTTTTTGGGTCCCTTTTTGGAGCCTCACTTATTGCTCGCTTTGTGCTTGTTCCTCGAGCACTTTGTTGGGAGTTCCACTCCCGCTCTCGACCTTTCAAGTCGGAGCTTTTAGTCTAAACGTGTTACGCTCGTTTGGCTTTCACTTCGGCCACTACCACGTGGCACCCTTTCCAGCTCCACTTTGGGGCCTAGGGATTTTGTGTCTCACAACTCCACCACTCATAGACGAAGTTCGATGTCCTCATCGAACGGTAAACCCTTTTATAAAGTAACACCCGCAGATATTACCATTCCCATCTTTGGCACCCGGCCAATATTTGTCTATGGTTTGACCCCAAAGGCTCACCATGCCTTGTCCATCCTCTAAGGAGGATAGTCTCTCCAACTTAGAGACTGATTGGACCACTTGTGGTGGTTCTTTCCGTTTATTGGTTTAGTTCTCGCTAAACTTGTTAGAGACACCGTCTCTATCTCAATCCCACTACTCCATCTTGAGTAGTCTTAATTTTCATCAATATAACCTTTGCACTTTGGAACGTTTAGTTTTGACTTCTTGAAGTCAATTTTCCTAAGTGTCTCCAACACTTTGCATTGCACATATTGCGCAACTCCACTTCCCATCCTAGGAAGTTCTTTACTTAAGGGCACCATCATCTTCTCTTCTATTTCGTGCCACCTTAGGCACTAAGTTCCATTTATCATACTTTGTGCTAGGGCTGTCCATGGCCCTATCATTTGGCTACCTTGGAGCTTCCACTTTCGCCAAATCGGAGCAATTCGGAATCCATCCTTGGAAACACACTTCCTTTCCCGCAATTTGTTAGCGTCCAACACATTATTGTTTCTCGCCTAACTTTGTCACTT